GTACTGTACTCTATATAAAACCATAACTAATACATAATTCATTTATTACATAAACCTAAAAAAAAGTCCTTCAGATTACTTTATACGATTACCATGTTCATGTCACCAAATCGACGTTTCGATGGAAATCTGTTTCCTGTTGTATAAATCTATTTTTTTCTTATTACATAAGTGTTTACTACAAAAAACATACACTTGGAATAATGCATCTGTTATTGATATACGCGTAATGTTTTTTAACGTTTTACATAAGCGCATTTTGTTCATATCTCACTGCTACCAAGCACAAAGGCTTAGTTTGAAAAAGCTTCTATCTTTAGAGCGATGCCACAAGATGCATTCTGAGAGCGTTGTTGCTGTTGTGTACTAATATAAATTAGAACTACATGAAGCGGACAAGGGCCCGGCGTTAGAGCGATGCCACACTTGTGCTGGGGTGCTGCAACGCTTACTACGCATCGCAGTAACCCTCCCCGTTTAGTCTCCAGGCCCCTTGTCCGATGCGTACATATTCCATACAACGCAGCGTCATCAATCAAATCGTCACAGTGACGTAAATGAAGAAGGGATCCTTTCAGGCTTCCGTTTTTTTGAAACCTCCAAATTAGTAGCAGAAGAGCTCCTTGTGAAAGAGTTTGTCCAGGGAAGTAGGTACTGCCACATTTTATTTCTGCCGCCAAACAGTAATGTGAGCATTACTGCGTTCCGGTTTAGAAAGGTAAGGGTGCTGATGAAATTACAGGCACATGGACTTGTTAACTTGTTTCAGGGTGACGGGCGCAGTAGCTATGCCCCTCAGATCTTTGTTATTTAATACTCTGAGTGACACTGGAACTGTTATGAACAGGCGTGTCGCTTATCACTAGGCGCACGACTAATCTTTCTGTCATTTGGTATCGTAATAAACTTCCACAGTATATCGTTGGGCCGAAGAGGTCATAAATATATATAAAAATTTTTTCATACTACGCGATTAGTCGAGGAAGTTCGCTTTTGAAATCTGGGTAGAGTCGTACGTTTTATTTACGCAATTCAACGACAACGATGTTTAATGGGTAAAATGAAAGAATAATTTAGAATTTATCCACACAAAACCAATATTTCCTATTTCACAAGGGGTATTGTCCCGTTACTGGACTCAGACTTTTCCTTCCTTCATCCTCACATTTCCTATTGAGTAAGAGATGTTTCTAGAAAAGTTAAGTCACCCGTAAACCACCCTTAATTGGACGCAATTACGCGGACTGATGCAATTCACCAATTTAGTAGCAGTGCTCCTTATGAAAGTGTTCGTCCGGGAAAGTATTGCCACCTTACTTCTTTCTGCCGCAAAGCATAAGGTACTGCGTTCAACTTATGTCTCAGGGGGACGGGCGTAGTGGCAGTGCCCCTCAGATCTTTGCGTTTTAAAATTATGAGTGGCACTGCAACCATTATGGACAGGCGTGTCGCTTAACGCCAGGTGCACGACTTGTTCGTCCGGTCACTCGATATTACAAACTAAATATAATTGTCTCCGTACGGTTACAATGCTGGACTGCCACGCAGATGTCTCGGGTTCAATTCCCGGGCAGAGAGACACATTTGTATGGCCTGCATTTGTTTCTCTCATGAGTGGTTGTCTATGTGTGTCCCCATGGCACACGTGATACAGGGTTTCCCTAGTGCGGGGCTATGAGTGTGTGCATTATTATTATAAAAAATTAACCACCATGAATGAAAACCTTGATGAACAAAGATCTTTAATCAATTTGAAAACTATTTCAAACTCAAACGCCCTCCCCACTCCTCCTGCCCTTGGGGATTTCCGGACTAATATAAATTTCCCAAGAATGTGACACACCCACCACGCACCTCATGACTTGGCATTTCAATCGTTCGTCATAACGTCATACAATGTCAATATTATTTTACTATTGCGAAATAATTAATGTTACCTATATATTACGTTTTAAAACTACGTGCGTCCTGCTACGGTATTCTTAACGATTTTGGTAAAAAAAAATATTTAGGAAGTTAAACTATTTATTAGACCAACATCCCGTATTTGTTTTTTTCAAATAAACAGTCAGCCGAGCCGAAACGTTGGTTTGGTTGCGAATTAGATCTAGAAAAAAAATTATCTAATATATGTAACAATCGCAAAAACCACAGAAATCTAAATAAATAGGTACTAGAAGTTCAAACAACGCTAATTTTGTGTAGGTACACTTGACATTTCGTTATATTTATTTAGATTTCTACCAATTGACGGGACGACCAAGTCGTGCGCCTGGTGGTAAGCGACACGCCTATCCATAACAGTTGCAGTGCCACTCAGAGCTTTAAATCGCAAAGATCTTAGGAGCACTGCCACTGCTCCCGTCACCCAAGTTGGCAGGTGTCATGGGCCTGTGATTTCACCAGCACCAATAGCGCGTTTGTGCACTTTACAATTCGAGACTATCCAAATCTAGAAAACTCGGACCCACTTCGTATGTCGCTGGTGCACTAAGTCCGTTTCGATTCCGAGAAAATACGAAAATCGCTTGTACATATAGAGATAAAATAATCCACCTTGACCTACCTAGCTCTGGAGCAAAGATAGGATCTATGATGAAACGAGCTCACCTAGAAGATGCCTATTCAGTCGCACCTTAAAGACACTCGGGTTGTATGTGCTCGGAAACACGTCTCAGGCAGGGAATTCCATTCCTGGGCTGTGCACATAATAAAAGATGATGAAACGCCCTTAGTACGCCTGAAGGAAATATCGATCAAATAAGCATGATTTTCCGCCGTATACATTCTGCAGAAAACCGACAAACAGACAATTTCGCGCTGGTGGGCTAAACTATGAAATTTTGATTCCAGCTTATCGTCGTCAATACGTCTCCTGGCTCTGCGTTCAATCGAATCAAGAGCCTCAAGTTGATACTTCGCTGAGCCATCCCATACCACATGATTATGTACAAAGAGGCATATTTTCAAAAAGTATATTCCAGACCTTTGTAGAATCCTGATAGAATAATCACTAGGTTTACTATAGATTATGCGTAAACACCGTTTTTGTATTGTGAATGTTTTAACAGTATCGACCGAGTTTCCCCAGACAATAACACCATAGATTAATAACGAGTATGTTCCCATAATACGCGTTTATAGCAATTTCAACTGACGCTACATAAACTAGTACATATAGAGCGTAGTAACAACTATAAAATTGACTATTATCACATCTATCATTAACTAGGCCCCCACACGATCTACAGGCCCCTACTTGCCTAAAAGCAAACTTGATCATGAGTTAATGTATATAGCAAGTGTTCCACGGCCTGCCTAGCCCACCACACTGTCTAATCGTGCTGATCTCCGAGGTTTCTTACAGCACACTCCAAAAATGAAAAACAAAATCAAAATAATCTTTATTTCATAGGTAAGCTTTATTACGCTTGATATCGTCACATTAATGAAACTCTACCTCTAATTAAAATGTACAATATTTTTTACAGATTACAGATTATATATTTACAGATTACAATTTTTATTATATATACAGATTTTTGTCACCTAACTACGCAGAAGTTGTATAAATAACCTTTAGTATAGAGTTTTTGTTTCACTATAGTTTTAAATTTCGTGAATGGCAAATTTTGTATATCAACCGGAATCTTGTTATAGAAGCGTATACATTGCTCCTTAAATGAATTTGTGACTTTGTGAAGACGACTATCAAAAACAGCTAGTTTATTTTTATTCCTCGTATTAATGTTATGTCTGTCACTATTTTTCATAAAGAAATTACTATTCCTCTTAACATAAATTACATTTTCATAAATGTACTGTGACGCTAGTGTAAGTATGTCAATTTCCTTAAACTTAATTCTCTCAAAGATACACTGGGGCCCAGATTGTAAACTGCCCTAACCGCACGTTTCTGCAGGACAAAGATTCTATTGATATCGGCGGCATTACCGCAAAGCAAAATGCTGTATGTCATTAGACTGTGAAAGTAGCTGAAGTAAATCAATCTAGCAGTTTCAACGCCTGTATACGTCGACGTTATGTATATAATTTATGCTAAGTATATAATATGTTCCATACCAATACGTAATTTGGGAAAAAGTTCTTTTTCAATTTTACTTCCTATTCTGTGTAATGACGTCATCCTTACCCAACATTCTTACAAATGTCGTAAAATACATTAAAAGCTATGACGTGTCATTTAATAAGCTGTTTTATAAAAAAGGGTTGCTCCCGATTTAGAATTGGTACGAATTTATGACGTCAATGATTTTGTAAGATGTTCTGCATAATTGTATCGTTTTATTTGTGCGTGTCATCTTCCCTAAAAGAAATATTATTTCCTTAATGATACAATAAATGTGTACAATAAAAGAACCCGTCTATTGTATAAGAATAAAATATGTCATATATTTTTTCTTGTTTAACGTTCTTTATTTATAAGAACTTTATTACGATTTAGTTTTTATTATAACGGTATATTATATTATTATAGTGTTTTATCACCACTTGTAACTGTAGAAGTTTCTACTTTGTTTAATGCACAATAAAATATATCCTTGTCATGCATTGCATGGAAATTTGCACCAATGACAAATATAATCTTGTGTGGAAAAATCTAGTGAGTTTTCCCAACTCAACTAATAAATAAAATAGTAACCCTTTTGCGCCATCACAAAATAACCATAAAGCGCGTTATCAATTAATTACAGATTTCGTAGAACAAAACGCCACAAACACATGACTCAATAGCAAATTAGCTAAAAAAATCGGACACTACATTGACTCAATACCGCTAAGTAGTGATTACACAGAGCCAGGGTAAAGTTACGTAAATAAAAACCCACACTAATAAAATCACTCACACCACCATCGGTCACCCACACAACCGAGCGGGATTGCCGATGTGTGTGTGGTGCAGAACGCGAGTCGGTCGACCCCACTACACAATTCAGTCTCACTCTAGACTACGCAGTGAAGAGACGTGTCCAAGTGACTAGCGAACTACGCAACACCAGCATTGGATATTTCGTCATAACAACATTGTGATAGTGACAAAGATCTTTCAGGACGTGAAAAGTGGGAGTGTTATATTACTTTTTGCTATTGAAACCGTGAACTTGACCGCAGGCAGATCTGTGCATTGCTGTTTTTGTGATATTATGACATTGTTGCCACTATTTGGATAATTCCACACAAGGAGTCCAAGTACGCCGCAAATATTTTCGTAAGTATTTTTGAATTCTGTTTTATTATTGTTTTAATTTTAAAAACTCATTTATTTATTTATTCTTTGCTCTTTTGATCTCTTTACTTTCCAAATAAAATAAAAAATATTTTATACTAAACGATCGCCTAAAATATTTATGACAATTGGTTGTAAAATCAAAATTTCTCAATCAAAAATCAAAATTTTTCAAATTAAATTGAAAATGTACTTTTAAAATATTCATTTTCAAAATTAGAAGCAGTGTTCTTTATTATAATTAATTCTCATTAATGAGAACAAATAAAACGACTTTCAGTAAAACTGCGCATTTTCTTAGATTAAATTGATGAAACAAATTTTGGTAAAGTTCAACTAATATTGGACTTTAAATTTCGAGTATAATTTTACGACCGGAATTCCTTATTTGAAATTGCAAAATTCAAGTCATAATCCTAATATATTAAATGACTAATAAGGTTGAGTCAGAAAGATCTTGATCTTCGATGGGTTCATAGAATTTTTTCCCGCCATGTCATTGACTCCGTTCAAACAAATATGTTTACTCATGATTTTTCAATTTCGTGCCAAAAGTGTAGCGTTAATCATCATATTTGTTCGTTTCGTACATTGCTGTAAATGTTCAACGATAGCTGCGTTGTTTTTACCTTGTTTTCAATCTTTTGTTTGCGTTTTCTGCTTCCTCAACTGCGTTGCTATTATTTATCTTTGTTTACGCAGTATCCTTTGGCAACCCTATCTTGTAGATTAACAACTCCGCATTTAGAGTATTCATTTGTTTGTGTATATTTTTATACATGTCGTATTAATTCGTTGTTTACATTTTTCTGCAAATTAAATATTGGTCAGATTAAATGTGTGAAATAAAAAACTTCAAAAAAATCGAGAACTTTACGGAACTTAGTTTAATTAATAAAATTGAAAATTGGAATTAAAACTTTTTTAATGGAATATATTTTGCATATAGTTTCTTTTTATATTCCTAAAGGTAGTTAATTTCCAAATCTATCCGTAAAAATGGCGAACGGAAATTTTCGCAATCGAATTGGCAAAATCGAAATACAAATTTCGCTCCGTTAATTGGTGTATTGCGCTTGTAAGCAGGCAGGTAATGTCGTAAGCGGGCGCCTGGCACCGCGGCGCTGTCGTAAGCCATTGTGGGCCGCTTACACAACTGGTTCAAGGTTTCAATCCGTGCATTCGCCCGCGGATGTGCGGAAACCAACTGGCAACGCTTTAATGTTGCAGTTTTTATTTCTACATCTATTGACACACTAATGTTCACACTTAATTAATACGACTTATTAATTATATAACAAATATTATTGTATATTTTTCAAATTTTCGTCAACAAGAAATGTAAAGATGATTCACGCAAGCATCAAGTTAACAGCAAAATAAATGTCCCTCAAAATGTCCTTCTGATTTTACCTTCCAACCGCAAGCAAGGTAAATTATTGATCGGTGCATAGGGGCGACCTTTACTTCGACTAATCATGCACGTGAAGGCATCAACCCCTTAAAACAGAAAAACTATTTAAAGAAAAGACTGTAACAATAAACATTTTTTCCGTGTAAAAGAAGGCAGAAAAAAATGTTACTAATATAAAATATTCCATTAAATAAAGTAGAAAATTAATAAATTTCTCAATTGAAAAGATTAATTGGGTAATTTTCAGGTTAGTTTTCTCAACCTAATTTCGGTGGCAATTTTTATTATTTGCATATTTCAGAATATTATCATGAAGTATTATTTCATATTAGACTATAGTATCCTGAAATATTATTTAATACTTCAACGTAATATACTCGAATACTTCAATAATAAAAATTGCCACCGAAATTAGGTAAGAAAATTAACTTGAAAATTATCCAATATGAAATAACAAGGAAAAAATACACAAATGACTAGAAGAGATAGACATAATATTCGCATAAAAGACAATAATGTAACGACCGCTACCAGGAATATAACTTCATGAATCTCTCACATATTGTAAACAAACGCGTTGTTAGAGAATCGATCCGTTCGCAAAGGTCAGTTCGGTGTGTCATATGACGCAACGCCGCTAGGGCGTATTGCGCAACCAAGTGCAATATATGAACAAGTATAACTTAGGAAAAACAAGTCAAATTCCACACTTATCAGACATGACTCATACCGTGATACGACGTACGGACTCAATACACTTGTTCGAGGTCGTAGTCGTACGGCATAAAGCTAAAGTTCCGGAAAAAAACTCCCAATAAATATAAAGCTTGCAGCACAAAATGCATTATCTCTGTATGACGTAATGCAGGAACTAAACGCAAGGTTGTCCGGAAGGAATTATTAAGACCGTGAGGTCGGCATGCGTTGGGTTAATCATGCATTGTAACTTAAGAATTTTAACGCTCATTACATGTGTACGATCATCTGTAATTCTCTGTACGCTGTATTAAATCATCGGCCGAAATAAAACACAATCATGAATTACTAACGTAACGTTGGTGCATTTTTGCATTACGAATCCGTCAACTATACAAGGTGATGAAAATAGTGTCTTGATAACAGGAATTCCTCTGTAAGCTCCCAACTATTACTTATTATCACGAGGTCACAATTGTGTGTAGCAGAGACAAAATTACGTAAGCCTCTTTTTTTTCACGCGCAATATAACAACGCGCGATAATTTCATCGTTCCGAGGACAGGCAAAGATAACTTGACCTATTTTTTTATCTCGCTCGCTCACATTACTGTAACCTACTTAGTGATGAACACGTGTGTTAGTACCAATTGCGACAAAGTGGATCACGGGACGGGTGAGGTCCAAAGAGTTCAGTGATTGACATATGAAAATAGGACGCAATAAAGCAAACAACACGCCGTTAAGCCTACACAGCACATGAAACCGAATATTGTCGTAACTCAAAAATTGGTGGAATTGAGAAAGTTTAATATTATATTATTCATTTTACCAATGTATATATAGATAAATCAGCCACGACACTCATTTTCTTTGATACAATTTAGTTAATGCTACTGGATATAATTTGGGAATACCCAATGATTCAAACAAACTAATCTTGTTGAGTAACGAACCGAACGATTGTAAACACAGCCAAAACAATAAAGCACGTGACGCACTTGAAGTTGATTTAACAACTCGTTAGGATCGCGATTTAGCTTCCTCGAAACAAACAGCTTGTGTAACGTTAGACGCTGAAGCGGCTAAATTCGTAGAATCTAGCGCAGTGAAATAGGTTAAGTGCTTCTTAATAATGTAGCAATTAGCAGGCATGGAGCAAGGTCACTTTTAAGTAGGTCTTTGTTTGAAAACGCTTAATTATTATCATCGTTTTCATTTGGAAAATATGTATCCGGAAAAGAGGAACTAGAGGAAGGGCCTTGACACGTTTGATACGACGCTTCTAGCCGCCGCCGGGCGCGTTACGGAACACAACCTTGACACCAAACCATTATCGCGGCCCGACCGATAGAGGCCAGACCGAAATAACCCGAACCCCGCTTGTTTAATTAGGTCTTACACCGATTCGTCGCGAAAAATCGGTCAAGTATAAGCAATTTTCGTCGGGAAAACGCTTGAATCACTTCCAGAAAACATCGACCTTAAACAAAAGGTCTTGAGACAAAATAAAATTAAATATGATTAAATAACTGCAAGAAGTATAAAACATCGACGATTCTAAGACAAAACAAGTAAGTGTCGCGTCGAAAGTTTTGAAAACATCAGCATCTTGACATAATCTGTTACCATAGACAATGACGAAGTGGCGCCGACACACAAGCGGCAATAATACTATAAAATGGGATTGCCAGATAAGACTAGGCGCGTAGCTCTTATGTACTTGTAAATACGTTTGAGAGAACGTCTTCAAACGGCGGTAAAATGTCAAATCAAAGATGGCGGCCGGCCTACTTTTCTTTTTACCCGCGCAATAAACAGCGAACGTATGGAAAGTTACCGCTGTACTACTTTCTCTACTTTTTCCAAGATGGCTGCCATTATCTTTAGTGCTTAGAAGGTCAAGACCGTAGCAATTTTAATTTTAAACTGGCACAAAGTTATTAACAAAGAGGTGCCCATTTATTTGAGTTTAGATGGGCGTGCGTGCCTATGCGTATGTGTGTGTGTGTAATCTTAAAAGATTAGTGAATAAACGTTGACACTGTCTCAGACATTCTAAACATTTCCGTTTGTAATGGAAGCTGCCGTTCTGCGAACAGACTAAAAAACACTTGTTATTTATAGCTATCCGGACAACAGCTATGACCTAACCCAAGGATTCTCGGAAAAACTCATAACCGAGCTCTTCTTTGATACTTCTCCAGTAAACATTTTTGAATAGAATCAATATTCCCACGAATCCGTATTTACTGCCATCTTTAATGTTTATTGTTATAAACAATACTTCGAGACTATCAATGTTATCTCACTTCAATTTCCATAAAGTAAACTTGTAGATAATCACATTCTACAAAATCAAATTAAACCAAACCTATATTAACCATTGTAACGTGAAAACAAATTTGTTGTCATAACAAAAGCAATTTTCTCGAACAATCCAGCCACGGTCAAGGCCCCAAGGACAATTATAGACTTACACAACACATTTTCAAATCACGTTGCTGTTTATATAACGGTGTAAAGAGGAGCAAACGTGTACGTTGCGCAAGTCAACGTGAGGTTCAAGAACGCACACGTGGTTATGGCCGCGTGACCCGACCGGTCACGTTTGCCGAGGACAATCACTGCTAAGGTCAAAGGGGTGTCTAGTCCTAGACAACAATTATTAGTATTAAGTTTTATTGCGGTAGGTCTAACCCGAAGTATTCACATTGATTAGGAAATTAATTTGCAATTTTAACACTTCGTAATTTGGCAACACTAAGCAATAGGCGTTCCATTTTTTAAATCATAAATTCAAATAATTTTTCTAAAAGTATTTAAAATTTTAGCGAAACAAACATTCCACGGGCAGTACGTAATGTTGCTTCGAGTGATTTTGGCATAGTCTTCACAATTTTATGTCATTCACTGGCGCAGCCCTATTAGAAAAAATAACACAACAATGTAACACACTCGTGTCACTGAACGTGAATCGATATGCATCTATGTATCTATAACGCAAAATAATGCACTAGAAGTACATCGTTATGAAACCAACACTTATGTACTTTATGATGATCTATTTACTTTATGATAGTACGGTTAGTTACGTATATACTAGACTGGTATTTTATCTATAATAAACCATTTATTGGATAATTAATATACTTTTTGAGTAACCGTGTAAATACATAACAGAAGAAATTTTTCACGTGATAACTTAGCTTTGTAATTTAATTTTTAATATAACAAAAACATGCCTGATCTGCCGGATTAAAAACTTTTGAAACTGTTTATATGTATGTCTACTTTTGTTTCCTAACAAAGAGGTCTAACAAAATTGTGAAAAATACAGTGGCATTATGAAATTAATTACAACAACAAAGCAATTTGTTATATATGATTAATAACAACACAATATGAGTCACGTGTGATAGTGATAACTTCGTGATAGCGTTGCCTTATCACATTATTTACGTGTGACATTTTTAGACTATGACGTGAGATCGGACTTTGCTACTTTTTTATTCGATACCGACTTCGAGTGAATATAAAGGAAGAACAAAAAAAAAGTAGTTTCGACCTGACAATAAAAAAAAATAGTGTATCAAAAAGATAGTAACATGAAATATGAAACTAACTTAACTTCAAAAACTGGTATTAGCATCAAGTGACGGGTCATCAAAATCTTACATCTAAACTTAGGATATTTTACTGGACCTAGATTATAAACCAAGTCATTGTTATGTCCTAAAACTAAGACTGATGCGGAAGGGATACGTGGTCGAAGAAGCAGATGTTTTGATATCATGTTATTAATACGGGATATTAGATGATACCCGTGACTTAAGTGTTGTTTGAAATATTACAAAGATAATACTTGTTTCATTTCATGGCATTGGTATACATAAACCAATGCCAATTAATCAGATAGTTCAATAAGCACTAGTTTTATATGGAACATTGAACGATCAATAATGCTAGTTAAAAGACATGCTACCATTACAGGATACCCTCTATAATATAAATTTTTGGAAACAAAAATACAACAATTTAAATGAATAAGCGAATCAAACGTAATTTGAACATTACGATGATTAGTAATAGACTTGAAATTAATCGTAAATACTATAGAAAACAGTTTTTTTTATCACTACGTTTATTAACTATTACTGTTTTATACTTGCAAACCACTGTACGTAAATTATTAATAAGTGTGACAATGCAATAAATAAATAAACGACTTGTACCCAAGGTCATGAAATAAATTTAAAAAAATTTAAGTGTCAATATGAGCGTGCCATTTCAACAGGCGCCTCTACAACAAATTTATAATTTTTTTACAGATAAGAAATTAGAAAATTCAAAAGGGGGTACAATTAAAGAATAAAAATACCAGACTTCGTTAAATTCTAGCAATATATCAAAGCCAATGAACGAATGCAATGAAGCAAACTAGTTTCGTAATAAAACTAAGCAATGTTTAAAAATGGAACTCAAAATTACACTGTATTGCAAGTTTAAACGACCAACCATTATATCTTGCCTAACGTTACCTTGAATGTTGACGAAACTCAACATTTCATAACAGTATTACGGATTTACGTCTCTCACACCAGATGAGTATTAAAAAAAACGGTTGGTGTACCGTACGGTCCCAGATTTCGGGACAACCGTTAGAGAGTAGATGATTAGCAATAACCGTTGTCAAAACCCGATTGTAGTTGTGTAACTGTCATTGGCATTGACTATTCAGGTACTACGGGTCAATTGGTATGGAGTTTAAAATTGTTTGATTTGGGTTCTATTTTTTTTAGTGATTGGGTATTGATTCTAATAGTGTCGGTTGGACAACTTTAATCTTTTTGGCAACAGTTTTTTTTTAAATCATCATCATCAGCACATTCATAAGTCTGCTGGACACGAGACTCCACAAGTACAAGTAGTCCACCACGCTAGCCCTTTTTGGGTCGGGGATTTGACACGTTTTCCGAGGGTTGTGAACCGTCTTCATCACGATGTTTTTGTTCACCGAAAGACTCATGGTAAATTTTATTCCGAGAAACTGAGAAGTGCGGGCCCGGATTCGAACCCACGGAACCTGCTTGAGAAGCGGTAGATGAAACCTTAGGCTATCACGGCTTTTTTTAAAGTATGAAACTTAAAACTTTTAGATAGTCGGCAATCAACATTTATACCTAACATTTCGCTGCATTAGAAAGTACAACAACTTCGTTCTCTAAACAATTAGAGAACTTCTAGAAACAAAACCTTGGCCTTCAAATTACAATGTCGGTTATCCAATACGTTAAAAAGAAAACTTTTAATAAAATTCTACTGTCCGTATTTTACGATCTATGTTAAACAGTGTAACTGGTCGTTTAACTGTTTGTTCCGTCAAGCATCACCTCTAACGGGTGGATTTTTTAAACTTAGCACCTGCTGACCGTGCTACATTTATTGCTCGAAGTGTACAATAATATTTTTGTTTTTCTTAATTTTTTGCGACGAGTATTTTATGAATAAATTAAAATTTATGGTTTACAATATCTTAAGAAACTACGCCGTCATTTACCAAAAATAAATTAAAAAACAAAAAATAATGTCTTGATGTTTTGTAATGTAATGTTTATTCTTTGACATCACTAGTGATTTTCCGGTCAAAAATAGTATCTATATTTTTAACGTAACAGATGCCGTTAGAAAAAAAAAATATTCCGTACTGTTTCAAATTAACGCTTAATTTAAAAGTAGGCGGTACTAATAAAAAATGTATATTGAACAGTCATACAGAGATAACTGTATGTTATTACACTGGCACATCATAACGGCGGCGTGAAATAAATCAGCGAATTAACTGTCGGCAACGGACGGTTGAACCGGCGCATTTTTTTATATTAACTGTAATCTTTATTATCTTACCGTTGATGCTGTAAATTTACTATATGCTAATTATTTCATACATTATTTAAATTAATACGTATCGAATTAAGAAATAAAAAATGCGTGTTAATTTGTAACAATGAATGGAAACAATTAGTACAAATAAACGCTTAAAACAAAGGTACCATAAAATCATTAGGTCGATTTTATGGTGCTTTACAAAATAGAATGACATTCATAATTAAAGAAGATTCCCACATATTTTTTCTACTACACTTCACAGCCCATAAACTTGATACAAAAGCGATTCAATCTGTAGTTCTACTGACATTTCCCCCACAACAATGGCCGCCAATTAAACCCGCGATCGGAACAGTTAGTCGGCGTAACGGGTGCGCCTGCGCATCTGGGGCGGCCCACTGACACCGATGTCGTGAGCGGATCACGCGACGAAGCCGCCCCTTGACAGCAATACCACAGTGCCCCATTCTAGGGCTTTCGAATTCCATTTGACAATGGAAAACTCCAACAAAGAAAAACTTATAAAAAAGATAAAAATTCTTGAAATTCTATTTCCCCTTATCAATAAAAGCAAAGTAAGGGTGAAAAAAATTCTGTTACAGTTTCGTACCCTATCCCCTTGAAAGTGAACATCCCATCGTGTACCTAAAAACGACAAAATAAAACGTCGACGGTTTTCACGCAAAACTCAACGGAAATATGCTGTAATAAATCTTTCAGAAAGTAATACTGAAAAAAAAATCATGTATTCTGTAGACTTCCATTAATGAACATGCTAAAATTTCATGTAAATAATTTCGTATAATTCCCGGTCACGTGCAGACCGACAACAAACAAATGCACAAACCATAAAATTTGTCTTTGGAAAAAGTATAATTTTAATTTTAGAAAGAAGGCTCACGTTGCTTACGTACCCACTGCGTGTACAGGAACGTGACGCTTTTAGGTCTTTTTTCTATGCACTAGTTAGTGCCTTGCATTGTTTTAAAACTTGGAAAAAAGTGTTTTATCGTTTCGCCACAATGGCTTCTGTTTTATAGTGATTCTTCCATTGTTTTTTTTCACCTGATATCGTTCTTTTTCGACTTCCTGTCGTTGTTCCACGCATAATTGTCGATTATAGGCTATTGGCGCGGAGTGGTAACATATAAATCGATTTTGGGTTCGTGTGTAGTTACGCAAAAAGGTGAACGACTTCAATCAACCGGTGGATAATTTAACCCATATTAAATTAATAAGGTTGCCGTCGTCAGTGATACCGCCTCGCAACGCAACGTGATCGATTTTGCAATGCTCTAGAATCTAAATATTATCGCTCAACCGATTGTTAACTACCCTCACACGTTTTGAGGCATGCTCGATCTTTTCATTGACTTTTAAATAACCTTTCTCAATTTCAAATGCGTTTCATTCGAAAGTTTGATAGTGAATTCACTTATCGTTTAACATAACGGACTGATCACCTAGCAACCGAAGTTGGAAGTTTAGAAACCTCATCCGGTCGTATTTTTTTAATGTAACACGAGAAACGTGATTTATTAATGAGTTGACTAACATGAAGGGAGCAAAAAGCGTTAAATGTGGCAACACCATTATTTCACAAAGGTCCGCTACTCCACGTGCAAAGTTGCACCGCGAGCTGTTGCAACAGCATTTTTGCAACCGTACATTTTGTAAGCGACATTATTTAGACAATCTCAATCATTCGCACGTTTTTATGCAACCTGCCAGATTCCTAACATAGTTCTTCTTCTTTTACAGAACCACAGTGAAGATCCGTGCGGACCGGGTCTCGTCCGCCGAAACATGGTCGCCGAGTTTATTCTGAGTCAGCAGCAGCTGCTAGGCAGCGGAGGAACCGCTCTGGGCCCCGCTCCGCCCGCCCCTCGCGCGCCGCTACCGCCGCGCGGCCGTCTTTCAGTGTCGCCGCATTTCCCCATGGACCAAGGGCCCCCTAGCGATCATGACCACCCTGATTACGCGCCCTCCTTCGAATTCTCAAAGCGTAAGGAGTTCTTCGGGCAGCGCAAGCAACGCGAGTTCATCCCGGACAACAAGAAAGATGACGGCTACTGGGACCGCCGGCGACGCAACAACGAGGCCGCCAAGCGCTCGCGCGAGAAGCGCCGCTTCAATGACATGGTTTTAGAGCAACGCGTTGTGGAACTCTCCAAGGAGAACCACGTCTTAAAGGCCCAGTTAGACGCCATCAAAGAGAAATACGGAATCTGCGGTGAAAATCTGATCAGCATCGATCAAGTATTAGCCACTTTACCCACTTGTGACCAAGTGTTATGTGTCACGAAGAGGAGTAAGCTGTCAAGCAGTGCGCTGTTCCCGCCAGCGCCCCCACCACCGCCACAAGCTCCCCCAGC